CAGTCAGGGTTATGTGAGTGGTTGCTACTTCTTTACTCTTTATTGTCTTGCTTTCTCTAATCTTCTCTCCTGTTAGATATGACTTATCAAGATGATTGATTATAAAACTTCCCCCACTTCCTGTCATTATGTGTCCAATCCAGAAAAGTCCTGCTTCTGTGAATTTTCCCCCAAATCACCACACAAACCTCAGTCCTCTAATACCCTTTTCCCAAGATGCTCACCACCACCCTGAGGGTGTGCATTTTCCCTCACTGCAATGAGCCAGTAAACTCAACCTGTTCTACTCCACCCATGTCTCTGGTGGTCTCGGTCTGGGAGCATAATAATTATGATCAGCCCACAGCCCCAAAATATGTTTTAAAACAGCTTCACTCGACATAGAAAATATTTTCAGCATAATAATTTTTCTCTCATATTGTGTGGAGAAATTCCAAATTTTGTGTTAGAATTCCTCCGATCAATTTATGGTTGTTCAATGAAAACTTGTATTTTTATAACTCCTTCTGAAAAAGAGAATCAGTTCCTTGTATCAGACAGTTATTTTTACCTTTGTCGTGATCTCTGGGCTTTGTACCACAGGCATGTGGGCAGAGATGAGAGTGAAGGTGAGACAATATGGAAATTTGAGAGCTGTCTCCAGTATTCTTCAGGAGAAAAAGAATTGGCTACATTGTCATATTGTTTTGAGTTTCAAAAAAAAAAAAGTTATATATTGAAATATATTCAATTGATTTGAATTGATTTTTGTAACTTCTGATTAAAAAGTAATTTTCTAGCTTACTGGGACTTACCTGCATCTCGCTCTTAAGCACCTCCATTTCATCAATAAACAAGCCATTCCCTTTTCTTTAGAGTGGTGTGTATGGCTTTCAAATGCAAACAGAGGTGATGGGGTTAAAAGTCAAACAAAGTGAAGTTTGTGCTCTGACACTTCTTCTTTGCAGCCTGGGGCAATGCTTCCTAAGAACACCTCACTATTGGAGAAGATAATGCTAAGTGAAGTTAGCCAATCCCCCCAAAAACAAATGCATAATGTTTTCTCTGATATAAGGAGGCTGATTCATAGTGGGGTGGGGATGGGGAGCATGGGAGGAATAGAGAAACTCTAGATAGGGCAGAGGGTTTGGAGGGGAAGGGAGGGGGAATGGGTTTAGAAATGATGGTGGAATGTGGTGGACATCATTATCCAAAGTACATGTATGAAGACAGGAATTGGTGTGAAAACACTTTGTATACAACCAGAGATATGAAAAATTGTGCTCTGTAGGTGTAATATGAATTATAATGCACTCCACTGTCATATATAAACTAATTTTTAAAATAAAAAGAAAAACAACACCTCACTGGAGTACTCAGATAAAGCTACTGAGTCCACAAAGGCCATAAGAGACACAGAGCAACTTCTCCTAGTCTGTGTCCTTTCACTGGGCTCAGGTTTCATTCTGTGTCAAGAGTCATACATCACACTCACCAGTGTCTCTGGAGCCAGCTGAGGAAAGTGCAGAAAAACTACTGTTAACAAGGGAGTAATTACATTCAGCCTAAATTAATTATTGGCCGCTCAGGACTGGTGAGAAGGGCCACACAGATGGCCTCTGACTCAGTTCCCACCTTGGAGGAAAGAAATATTCCAATGTGGTGCACATGACCGCATAAGATAACAAGAGGCAGGCCATTTCTGGTCTACTGGTCTTGAATTTACCATATTCGATAATATGACATGGGGCTTATTTGCCTTAACACTGTAGGTACATTGTACTTTTTAGGGAAAACATGAATTATAGTCACTAGGGACGGAGGTCATTTCACGGCAGTCAGCATTAGGACCAGCAAAGTCAAGCCAGGGACTTTTAAAATGCAATTCAGTCGAAAGAACAGGTTATGGATCAGTGAGCAGGTGAAAGAAGGTGTTGGTGAGGAATTTAGATTAGCACAAAATTCAAACAGACCACAAGAAACAGGGAAGAGAGAAAGCCGGGCAACCTGAAGAGCAGGAAGCCATGGTCTCAGCAGGGTGCAGAGAGCCCTGGTAGCTGTGATACTAGGCTCCATATGGGCAAGGACTATGAATCCCATTTACTCTGTGTCCTCTGAAGCTGTGGGTAGGCACACATGTCAGAGAGGTGTTGTTGAAATAATCAGCTATTATGATTTGAATATGAGGTGTCTCCTAAAAGCTCCTGTGTTAATGGATTGTGGGAGTTGTAACCTAATCAGTCCTTTCAAGTTTGACTGGACTAAATGGGTGGTAATAATAGTCAGGTGAGGTGTGGTTAGAAGAGGGGGGTCACTGGAGCTGTGCCCCATAGGGCTGATCTTCCCTACTGCCCCTTACCTTCGCTCTGATTTTTGGCCACCCTAAGCTGACCACTCCTCTGCCGTTCCCTTCCTCCATGATGCTCTACTTTACCTTGGGCACAGAACAGTGAAGTCAGCTCATAGGGAACTGAACCTCTGAAACTCTGAGCCAAAATAAACTTTCCCTCCTCTAAGCTGCTCTTGTCATGCGTTTTGGTCACCGTGACAAAAAAGCTGACTAGCACATCAGTCAACTTGATTTTTATTCATTTGTGAAATACTATTCTCTTGCTGGAGATTGACATAGAATTGATTCAGTTTGATAAAGGTTTTAGATTGCGTCCTACGTGCCTGGAAGTTTGGAAAATATATAAGCCATACTCCTGTCCTCAGGGAATTTGAAGTGTAGTGTCTGAGGCAGAATATAAACAGTAAATGTTGAGTGTAATAATAGAAATATGGAGATGATAAACAGGCAGAATAAAGTAATTACTGATTAAATGTCAAAGAGGGGCATCTCAACAGTTTTAAAGTGTAGATAGGAGTCTATCAGATGGGAAAGTTGGGAAAATCATAGTAGGAAGAAGAAACACGAATGAAGGCAAAGAGAAGTGAACAACATAGCAAGTCACAGAAGAGGTAGTTCATACTTGTGGAGAGACACACATGGACCAGATCAGAAAGGGCTTTGAAAGCCAGTGTTAGGAGCTTTCCGTGAATAGTTGGGCCCCATAGCAGGATTGAAACAGAGAAATCTCAGATTTATATTAATAAGACAATTCATCTAGCCAATAAAATCAGAGAAGGAGAAGTTGGAGAAAGAAGGCAAATAAATTATAACTAAAGTATAGCACAAAATGGAAAGACACAAAATCAAGACAGTGGCAAAAAAAGAGATATGCTTAAGAGATAATATGAGAGACAAGTAAGATTTGATGTTTAACTCAATATGGCCAGGGAGGGAAAAAATAAACACTGAAAAATAAACACTTCGTGTTTCCATCTTGACAGAGTAAATGAATGTTGAATCACCAATGGGACTAAATAAAATTGGGTGAAGGATTGGAGGTGTAGATAATGAATTGTTAGGACATGTTGCATTTGACAAGTCCTGGAAATTGTTAGGAGGCAATTATATTTTCAGGCAAAGTCTATATTATGAAGCACAGTTTGGGGAGTTATGGCACAGGTAAAAATCAAGGGTGACAATAAGGACAAGATTGTCTAGGATGAGATATAAATTGGAAAGAGAAAAATATTAAAAATAAATCCTGATGAATATTTACATTTAAATAATGGGTAAAGAAAGAAGAATCAGTGAATAAGACTAAAATGAAGCAGAAGTATGAGAAAAGCAAAAAAAGGAGTGGTACATTCCTAGGGAAGATAGAATTTCAAGGATGAAGGAATGATGAAACTAACTTTGAAGGTAGAGAAATCAAGAACTGGATATGACCTAATGTGTGAATCAATTAGAAGAAACTAGTAAGTGGAATAGGATTCAAGAGAGATTTCAATGTTAAGGACCATTTTGAAAATATTGATATGCATAAACTTATATTAATCTGCATAGTTCACTTTTCTTTGAAAAAGCTAGACTGAAGAAGAAAATAGAGAAATAGGATATAATCAAAGGAGGATAAAGCTTCATAGAAAACTTTTGGTTTAAAAAAACAAATAATCAGATCAATAAACAGGCAAATGAACTAAACATACACTTCTCAAAAGAAGAAATATAAATGGACATTCAATATATAATGACTATGCATGTGTCCCCAGACATAGTTCTTTCCCTGGGTCGGATTTTATAAATGCTAGTGATAAAACAAAAACAAACAAACAAACAACAACAACAACAAACATAACAAAGAAGAAGAAATATAAATGGCCAACAAATATATGAAAATATGTTCAATGTGTCCAGCAATTAGGGAATTGCAAATCAAAACTACACTGAGATTTCATCTCATTCCAGTCAGAATGTCAATCATCAAAATACAAATAATAATAAATGGTGGAGAGGATGTGGAGGGGAAAAAAAACTCTTTTACACTCTTTGTGGGTTGTAAATTAGTACAATCACTATAGAATTCTGTGTTAAGGTTCTTCAAAATATTAGGAATGGAACCACCATATGATAACTAACCATTCCTCAGAATTTATCCTAAAGAATTAAAGTCTGCATACTATAGCAATACATGCATACCCTTATTTATAGCAGTGTAATTCACAAAAGCCAAACTTTAGAACCAGCCTAGGCACATTCATCAATGAATGAATGGATAAAGAATATATGGAAGATAAATGGAATTTTATTTATCCATAAAGAAGAATGAAATTATTTGCAGAAAAGTGGATGGAACTTGAAAACAGTACATTAAGTGAAATGAGTCAAACTCAGGAAGTCAAGGGCCATATGGTCTCTCTCACATCTGGAAGCTAGACAGACAAAAAGGGGGGAAAGATGAGTGTGTGGGGGTATTATGTAAATTAAAGAATAAAAAATAGAAAAACTTTGGTTTCTTTTTGTGTGGAAGAGACCTCAACCTGTTTGAAAAGTGAAAACAAGAATATATAGAGGAACAGAAGAGAGGGATAAGAAAGCAGTTTGGAGGAAAGGTGGTGAGAGATCTTTGCTTTAAATACATGGAAGATGGTTTCTTTTTCAGAATCTAGGAGTGATGGGGTCAGCAGTGGGGAATGTTGAATGAACTTCTGTTTGATTATCTTTGCTAATATATTAATATACATCATGACTAAACCAAGAAAATTTTACAGGTGTTTTAATAATTATCATAATGTTCATAGAGACCAAGAACCATTTTCACCTTAATGAAAGAATGTCTTTTTCAAGGACGTCTCCTTTAACAAAACCTTGTAAAGAATGTAAAGTTTTTCAATCTCCTACTTTTATCATAAACTCATGATATAATTATATCATGACTATCATGATATAATTAAGTTCTTATATATTCTAAAAGTAATTCAATAATATATAAAAGTTAATTTCAGCCCTGCTGGAATTTAACTTGCCCAATTTAGTAAATAGAATGGACTATTGCCCAACTACTTTGTAGCTATTCACCACTGGTTATAAATTGTGCTAAAATTGTTGAATTAACTCATCCACTGAGTAGCAAGATATAGACTTATTTTCAGAGGCCACAATCTCTTTGTTCAGTAACAAACATCATTTCCTTAATAACTACTAAAAATCTCTAAATTTTTTCAAATATCAGTATATACCATAATCATATATCTAACTTTCAAAGAATTTATTTTATCATTGACTTATTGAGATTTTGTTTAATCTAATGAACAATTTAAGGAAAATTAGTACCTTAACCTTATTGATAATTTTAATCTATAATTTCCTCCATATTTATTTATCTATCTATGTATTTATCCAATGTCCTTTATTTTGTTAAATGCTCTTAAATATTGAAGGATCTTTGGTTTGTTTCAACTTTGTATTGTTAATAATAAAGTTGATATTAATATGATATACAAATTTTGTATGAATATCTGTTTTTATTTCTCTTAGGTAAATATCTAGATCAAGAATTATAAAATTATATGTTTTTAAAAATGCCTTTGCATGCCCAAAGTTTGTGAAAAAAAATTCCCTATGTTTTCTTACAGAAGAATTTTAGCTTTTATGTTTATGTCTGTAATTCATTTGAGTAAATTTTTTTACTTGGTATAAAATAAAGGTTAGACTCATTTTTTATTCTATTTTCTTATGAAAATCTAACTGTTCCAACTTCAGTTGTAAAAAATATTATATTTCCCCCTTCCAATTATCTTGGCATAATATATATGTGAATTCATTTCTTGACTCTTTGTTTCACTGAGTTATATATTTATTCTTATATCAACATCACTGTCTCAATTACTTGTAGCTTTTTTAAATGTTTTTAAATTAAGTAGTAGAAGTTTTATAACCTTGCTTTTTTTCTTTTAAGATTTTAGATTCCTTGGGATTTCCAAATTAGTTTTAAAAATCAGCTTAATTTCTATCAAAAAAATCCATTAGGGTTTTGTGTGTTTGTGTGTGATTATAGTTGAATCTACAGATCAGTTTGGGAAAAACACTGAGACTTCTAATCCATGAGCATGATATATGTATTGGTTATTCATTATTGTGTAACTGCTTCCAGACTTAAGTACTTATTATCTCAGGATTATATGAGTCAGGAATTTGAAAATGGCTTTTAGGGATGGTTCTGGTTTGGATCTCTCATGAGGTTGCATTCAATATGTTAGCTATCAATCTGGAAAGCAGTATGGAGCTTCTTTAAAAAACTAGAAATGGAACCACCATTTGACCCAGTTATCCCACTCTTAGGTATATATCCAAAGGACTTAAGATCAGCATACTACAGTGACATCAATGTTTATAGTGCACAATTCGCAATAGCTAAGCTATGGAACCAACCTAGGTGCCCTTCAACAGATGAATGGATAAAAAAATCGTGGTATATATATGCAGTGGACTATTACTCAGCTGTAAAGAAGAATAACTTTATGACATTTGCTAGTAAATGGATGGATCTAGAGACTATCATGCTAAGTGAAATAAGCCAATCCCCCCCAAAACAAAGATTGAATGTTTTCAGTTATATAAATGCTAACCCATAATAAGAGGGGGAGGGGAAGATACAAGTTAGGTGAATTAGACAAAGGGGAATGAAGGGAAGGTCGAAGGGATAGGAAAGATAATGAAATGATTCTGACATAACTTTCCTTTGTATTTATGTGAATATGCTAGAGTGGATTTTACCATTTGTACATCTACAAGACTTGGATCCTAATTAGAATAAAATATATTCCATGCTTGTATAAATATATCAAAATAAACTACTTTTACGTATAACTAAAAAGAACCAATTTAAAAAAAAAATGTTATTTAGCTGGGGATACAGTCCTGCTAGGCTGAAGGTTTTTTTTTTTTTTTTTTTTTTTACTCAAATGGTTGGCTGTTGACAGGAGGCATTAGTTCTTCACTGGTTCTTGGCAGGAAACCTCAGTTCTTCACCATTTAGGACTCTCTAGAGGGTGCTTGAATCTAAAGAGTATGGCCCACACTCATACGGAGAAGAACCAGAGTCCACCTCTTGGAGGAGGAGTATCCACAAATTCATAGATGTATTTTACATTACTGAGGTATGTCTCTCGGTTTGCTTAGATCTTTAATTTCTCTCAGAACGTTCTGTAACTTTTAGGAACAGACTTTTACACAGTTCTTAGATTCATGCCTAAGCATTGAGGCATTTTTGATGTTACTATAAATGAGTTTTTAAAAATGTTTCCCCCCATTTTTTCACTGACAGTATATAAAAATAAAGTGACTTTTCCATTTTTATTTGATATTGTGTGACCTTGCTAAATTCACTTGATGATAACAGTAGCTTTTCTGTAGATCCCTTAATAAGTATACATTAATGTTCTACATTAGAATCAGAAAACAGAAGTTATATCAATTATTTTCACAGGTGTGTATATGTGTGTAGTATTAAAGATCTGAATGAGGGCAAAAATAAAATAGACATTAATACATAGTGGAAATAAAAATAGCAGGAAACAGAGATTACACCCCAAACCTAGAGGGATGAGCAGAAGAGCTTACAATTAGTGAACTGAAAAAGTTTAGAGGAGGGACTCTAAGGCATTGAAATTGGTATCTCTGAGAAAGGTCTGTTGGGGTTAATGTTTCTAAGTTTGGGAAGGATTTCTATATGTCTGTAACCTCAACTTATGTAAAGAGTATATCAGTTGTCTCATTCTGAAGGGATGTAATAAAGTCAGTTCTTCCAAGCGCTGGAAAAACTGCAAATTGGATTGAATTACTGGGACTGGAATCAACTACAATGGTTGAAGTAAGCATGGCAGGGCACAGTTGCACACGCCTATAATCCCAATGGTTTGGGAGGCTGAGACAGAAGAACTGTGAATTCAAAGCCAGCCTCAGCATAAGCAAGGCCTTAAGCAACTCAGGGAGACCCTGTCTCTAAACAAAATACAAAATAGGGCTGGGAATGTGGCTCAGTGTTCAAGTTCCCTTGAGTTAAGTCTCTGGTATCCTTCACCTCCCCCCGACCCCCCGCCAAAAAAAGAGTGAGACTGGAGCGCTATTGGCAGACATGAGAAGCAAATAGGAAGCTCATATAAAACAAACAGAGTGAGCGTGTTCATTATCTTCCTCCAGTATTGCCCTCTCCCTTTAGATGTACAAGTATACTCCTTTTGGTATTCCTTTATAGCACTTGCTTCCCTAGATTTATTCACCCTCTATTGGTTCCATTGGAGGCGTTTAACAGGTTGCCAATTGACAAAAAATGTAGAGAGTCCTCAACATTACAAGTAGATTACATATAAGAGTCTCATACTGATTTAGTAACAATACTGCCTTAACACGTTTCTTATGAAACAGAGAAACTAGAGGAAAATTGGGGACTTCATAGCCCATAGCAATTGCTTTCTTCATAGGATATGTCAAAGTGGAAAACATTGTAAAGCACTGCAGATCTTTCAATACTCTTAAAAACTGATGATTAGAGGTTAGGACACATCAGACTCTAAGCTGGAAATTAAACAACCAGCAACATACCAAATACAGACTGATTATTTATATATCTGCAACCTAGCCTTGACTTACATAATGCCTGTTTTATAAAAGGGATCAGTCACCAGTAGATAGAGCAGACAGAAAGAAGGGTGAGTCTATTCAGTGAAATACATACAATTTTGCATATATATTGCTGGAATTTGAGTAGAATTAAAAGATTTGCTAAAACCAAAATAAACCAAGACTTTGTAACCACTG